AAGAATTCGATGAATAGGATGTGCTGCGTTATCTTCATCGATATAATCACAGTAATTAATGAATGGCGGTTGTTTAGGGGTGGCTATAGATTGCGTCCACACTATTTTTGAATTTTTGGCAAGGTCAAACTGATCGGATACATGATCGTATTGTATTTGAAAAAGGAGCTGATGAAACGGAATGGTTGATTAAGCGTCTTTCACCGTGAAAATCACTCTCAAGGGATCCTTGTTAATCCAGCTGATTGTCGAATTCCTTCAAATATAGCTTTCACTGTAGATATAACCGTTAGTAGCTACTTAAATGTCACAAATTAATATAAACTTTGTAATTATAACCTATACTCCAACAAAAGTTCCCTGAAAAAGTAATAATTGAAACTCTTTCGCTTCTCATAGTTAATGTTTGGAATTGATAGTTTTTACTTGGCCCAGTGACTATTCTTGTTCACTTTAATTTTTATTCGGAAATAGTAAATTTAACAAAATAAAACATTAACTAAATGTAGAATTTATAAAACACAGAGAAATCTCCTTTGAAATGAAATTCATTACTTTCATATGTTATCCAGCATTGATTTGTTGCTCCAATTTATTTTCTTAAAGTTTAGTCGCAAATGTTGAAATCTCAGAAAATGTTCTGGAATTTTAACATTTGTGATTAAATGAAACTCAAACGAAAAACGGTACGATTTTGACTTCATAAAAATTTCTTCCAGAGAAGTTTATGATTATTGTTGAAGTTTGTAATAGCTGATGAACGGTTGTTGTTATTGTTGTTGAAACTGTGAAAAGATGGGGTCTTTTTTGAATTGAATGGAATATGCCTAAGGAGTAAGTATTGTTTAGAAGAATTTGTGAAAACTCTTAAAATATGTAAGAGCAGAATTGTAATAGTGATTAATTATTCAAGACAAAATCCACGAAATTGTCTTATTTCTAATACTATCAAGTTATGCTACTATTTTCTCAACTTACCAAAATATCGTTAGATGTCGTTATTATTTTGACTTCATCTATGAAAGTATTAAAAGATTTTAATTTATCCGACGTAAGAGTAATAATGCAGCTCTTTTCTATTTTAATATTTTATTTATGTTTTTCTTTCTTTTTTTGTTTTCTGCAAAGGTAATTCAACGATATGTCAAGAATGAAGTAAAATTAAACTTAGTTTGGAAATTTATACACAATTCGAAATTTAAAAAAATTTCAGTTATTTCGTAGTTATATTGTGAGAGTTAAGTGTTAAGTGAGAGGTTAAGTGCATATTGTTAAGTGAATCACATCTCTAACCATTTTGTTAAATCTTATGTTGCAGTAGCTTCCAACAATGTTGAGGATAATCTCTTTGCAACTTTTTGATTAATTGATTTTGCCGAGTATTTCAAATTTATATTTGTTATCATCTTTAAATGCTATGATAAGGAGACGATAATCGGATATTTGCCTTATTTTACAGCGTATTATAACGACAAAAGCAGTATACCTTGCTAAATATATTCAGTAAGATATGAGTAAATATTAAAGTTTGAACTGTAAATTTCGGAATTAAATTTTAATTATCGAATCGTATAACGATAATCTTTGCAAAAAGAGTAGTCTTTTTGCACCTTTTTGATTAATTAATTTCGCCGAAT